TTATATTTGTAATGGTTCATTTTGATTTAATAAATAAATGACACCAACCTGATTGAGGGAAAAAAAAAAAAAAAAAACAGTGGTTCTGATATTAAGGATTTAAGGATCACATACAAATCTAAAAATAACTTGTTAATAGGTATTCTGCAATAGGTATGGTTTAGCTTTAATATAAAACCTTAGGGTTCCATGTATTATTGTTTTATTTATATTTAAAGATTAATAAACACAGTGATTGCAGTTTGATTAGAGGTGAAAAAAAAAATATATAGTATTATTTTAAATATCTTTTCAATATTAATTAAATATATACAATTCATATAAATAAATTAATATTTAATTTATTATTTTATATATATAAGAGATATTGTTTCTTTCATAATATATACTTATTATACTATATATAAATCAAATAAAGAAATAATGTTTATTTATAAGGAAACCATTTTCAAATACAGAGAGATCTTCCTAAATGCACTCTCTATAAATTCACTTACTATATTTTCTCTCTCTAAATGCATGGTCAAGCTTAATCCCAAATACATAGAACTCTTAATAAAATTATATCCATAAATGCACACACTCTATAAATGCACATTTTTCAAAAATTTACCTATGGTTCTGAGGGGTGTACATTTAGAAAGAGTTTACTATATATATATAGATTGATTAATTATAATTAATTATTAATAATTATAATTTGATTATCAATAAATAACTTTTTAAAAAATTTTTTAATAATGCTTTTTTGATAACAACTTAATTAATTATATTAATTATATTATAAATTTATAAATTTTAATAATATTGTGATAGAATAGATAATTTAGTTTTATCTAGTAGTAGGATTTTTATCCCCTATAGCCCCCTGATATCACAAGGAAAGGTCATAAAGTGACAGGCTTCTGGGTATCAGATGAATAAAGTTGATAGGCTAGTATTTAGTTATAGTTATGTATTACAAAAGGATGCTTGATGTAATGAATACATTGATATCAATAAAAAATTTGTATCTAATACTGTTTAACTTTAAAAAAAAAAAAAAAAGATAATTTAGTTTTATTTTTACTTATTTTTATCAAACTATTATTAGTTTATTTTTAGCAGTAGTATTTATTATTTTATTAGAATATAAATATTTATTTATAGCATGTGTAATATAGATCGGACAGCCTAAAAAGTCCAAACAGCCTGGAAGGCCCAGAAGACCTACAAGGCCTATAATATATAAAATTATGACATTGCAACATATAGATCAGGCAGTTCAGATAGCTTAGAATAGAAAACACTATATAAGTAGCTACTGCCCATGTAATTTTTAGTCAGTTTTTTATAACTCACTCTTGTAATCGTTTGACTTTTTGATTTCATGTCTTAATAAAACATGTTTATTTTATTAAACACATTTTAATTACAAAGATTTATTGAAGAATCTTTATCATACCTTGGAATATTTGTAAGAGGTTATCCCTGGAACGACAAACTGTTCTATATAATCTCTAATTTTTTCTAAAAACTATCACTCAGATATGGATCAAACAGATTTTGATCACAATATATAATATATAATAAACTTATATATTTGATCTATGGATTTATAATATAGTGGTTAATACTTCACAGATTAAATCATAAGATATCAATTCAACTCCATGTAAGGGCAGTTGAATAGAATTAATATGGTATCTAACGTTATAACTTATATAAGTGCTGTTTCTTATGAGAAGCCATTTCACACGCTGATCCAGTAGGCATTGAGATTGTGATTTCCAGAAAAGATATTATGATACAACAATCATTTAGTTAATGTTATGATGATCGCTGAAAGTTGTAAGTATATGAGGAGTCAGTTTTCAGTAAAGATGGCTCGGTGATCATTCTCCTGTGGTACCTGATATCTCTTTCTGCAAGTTTCCAGAAAGGTCTTATTTCAATCCAGTAATAGATCATTTTGACAGTTACCTATCTCAAGAAGGTAGTCAAAACAGCAGTAAGTACTGATAGCTGAAACAATTTATGAATAGTAAGTTTGTAAGATAAGTTCCTTGAACATTCTTAGGTAGCTCTAGGAAGATGGAAATTAAATGGTATGCCCATTTGCAAATGATTAGGTTTAGAAGAATTATCTCTGCAGTAATTCTATTTACAAAAAATAGGTACTATCTCCAGTTCTCCATATTTAAACTTTCTCTTAAAATTTCCACAGTATCAAATAGAATATAATGATATAATAATAATACTAATGGAACTTTGGCATGTTAGTCTCAGCACAACTCCTCTGGGGTGACATTGACAGCAACAAGCTGATATAAAGTAAAATCGATATAGTCTAGTAACACATAGAATTGTTCATAGATAGTAGTTCCTGTAATACATGAAATATATATATAAATAAAATAATAAAGCATGCTTAGGCAAGGTCTAGCTAGTTAAACACAAAAAAAAAAAAACCTATATATTTAAATAAAATTCTTAAAAAATAAAAATATTACTATTAGCTTATAAACTATTTAATCTAATTTAAATTTTGATAATTATTATTTAATTAAAATTCAAATGGTTTATTTAATACTTTTGTTATTATTACGTACTTATAATTTCAAAAAAAAATTTTTTTATTAATTTCTTTTCTTTTAAACAAGTATCAAATTAAGATAGATTTTTAAAAAACTAATAATAATAAATAATTAGAACTTATATAAAAGATTTATTAGATCTAGTTTTGTATTATAAAAGAAGCATATTATAGAATATTATTATAAAATTAATTTCAATTATTCTATATTTTCTTTTCTAGAGATTAGTTGAATATGTCAAAGGATAGATACTGTAGCATTAGTTAACTTAAATGAATTGTTCATATGTTGTTTCAATAAAAACTATGAATATATTATACTTTAGTCCTTAAAAAATAAGTTAAATACTTGATATGTATTTTTTTCATATTTTTAATGAATTAAACCCTTGATAAGTTGAGTTCAACTTCCTGTAGACTTTTATTTATTTGAAATTGTATTAATTTTCTTGAAAGATTAATAAATTAATAAATTAATATATACGGGTTTTAGTATATTTTTTTTTGTTATTAAATATTATATAATCGAATAATATCTTCGTCGTATTCAATATGTTTAATGCGGAAGATGATCAATCGTCCACTACGCAGTTCAAAGAGTTTCTATCGCAATACTCTTGCTCTCCGGATAAAACGCGTGAAACAAGTGCAGCAAAACTTGGAAAATTAAAAAATCGCGCGTCTCCATATCGAAAACAAGAATTTCATAAGTCTTCGATCCCAACCATTGAGGAGAAGGTTTCTAGTAACCCTGACATTATTGACTTTAATTTGAAAGGTAATGACATGAAATTTTAGGTAACCAAGCTTTAGGGTAATTCTAAACATTTCGGTTTATTACTTCTAGTATTGTTCGTGGGCATTAATCCAGGAAAAAGGAGTGCACAAGTTGGACACCATTTTGCCCATCATTCAAACCATTTTTATCCTTGCCTTATCGAGAGTGGATTCACCAACAACGAAATAATTAATTATGAAGAAGACGTGACCTTGCCAAAAAGATTTAATATCGGCATCATTAATGTTGTCGGTCGTGATACTCGTTCTTCCGCGGTGAGCAATCTATCTTTCATTTCGTCCTTTCTTTAATTTTTGAGTCTGATTTAACATTCAGTTTTTTTTTGTAACTAATGAAGGATTTATCGGCAACTGAATTAAGAAATGGAATTCCTTCAGTAATAAAAAAGGTTAAACTCTACAAACCGAAATTTTTATGTTTTATAGGAAAGTGTGGGTTTGATGCATTTGAGAAAGTTTATGGAACACGCGATAAAAGCAGATCCAAAGATTTTGGTTTACAATCATTAAAAATAACTTGGGAAAACGACAATGACGACAAAAGTCAAAACGAAAAAGACGGTGTTGGAGAAAGATTCACAAAGGTTTTTTGCATACCTTCAACAAGTGCCAGAGTAAAGCACTATCAAAAATCAGATAAATTAAAATACTTCAAAGAATTAAACAGTCTAATTAATGATTACGAAGGGTAAGGAGAAGATAGATGAGAAGGGACGCATTAGAAGGATTTGTGATGTGCCTCATTTTTTGTCAAATTTTGTCGTGAAAAAAATTTTTCATGCAAACATCGTCTACATTTTTTATGCGTGAAGATTTATAGTTAGAATAAAAGCAGTTGTCAAATTATTTATTATTTAATTTTGATTTGAACAAGTTTCTACTGGCGTTCATTATCCCCTTTATAAGTACAGTATGCCAATTAATTCATTGGAACAACTTCTTGTTAGTCACTGTCAGAGTTGTGGATAATATGGTATGATTTCATACTACTTTGACACAAAATATACAATTATAAGCGAAATAGATACGTGAGACGTAGGATTACGCCTTTTTGCGTTTTTTTTTTTTATTGTGTATAAACAAATCTCTGTATTTTTCAGGTGAAAATTAATTACAAATCTTTTAAAAGTTTCTCTCCAACTATATTATCGATTTTTTTTTCGAATAAACTGTGAGAAGGTTCAAAGGAAGGATAGAAGTGAGGAGTAGTAGGTTACTCAGTAAATGACAGTAATTCAAACAGGTATGTCGAAGCTTTTTTCTGTGAGTTACGATGATTTAACAATATAAAAATGTGAAAACGGCGAAAAGAATACTACTTTTGAGATCGCAACTCCCTTAAACCAGGCTAGGCTTTTCCGGTGAACGAGAGACCGAACCTCTTTTCCAATTTATTTATCTGCAACACGTCGATCGAAGGAAATCCAAATCGTATAAATTATAGGATCAGACATTTCGGCCTTCTCTTGTTCTTTTTAGATTCTCGCCCTCCCTCTCTATTTGACCGTATCATTCGTACCACTGTGTAAAATGCCCTTTCCACATTCACACATGTCTTTGCCGAACTTTCGATAAATTCGCATTTAAGTCTTCTCGCCATACTCATTCCTTCTTCTCGAGAGACTTCACGCTCGGTGATTTTGTCACATTTATTTCCAACAAGCATAAGGGGGACTGAATCAGTATCTTTGACTCGAGTAATTTGATCCCGAAATCGCTCTACCCGTTCAAATGTTGATCGTGAAGATATGGAATAAACAAGAAGAAATCCTTCACCATCTCTATACAAAAATGAACATTAATATCAATTGGATATTAGGTGTTATCAAATAAATCTGCTATTAATATTACGATACCTAATCCATTGATCGCGAAGTGCTGTGTATTCCTCTGTCAAATAGAACAGTATGCATTAAAAAAATGAATTAGGATAATAAAGCTCAGCAATAACAAAGCTGTTAAGGAAATATGTCAAGGTGAGGGGGCACGTATAACGAATTATTAAGCACATACCTTGTCCAGCAGTATCCAATACTTCCAGTACACACGGTTGATCATCAATTACTACTTGTTTTCGATATGAATCTTCAATTGTAGGATCGTAGGTCTGTTATTACAATAATTGATAATGATAACATTAATTAATTAAACATAATCTTTTTAATTCTAATCGTTAAAAAGCTATTTGCCAAACTTACCTCTATCGAACGTAACATGATATAAGGAGTGAGAGTAATTAAAGTTAATGTGTAAAGGTGATAAAAATAACTGACAAAATCATGTTGGATTCAGCACACTCTGGAACCTCGCTTGTACCTACCAACAAAGTGGTTTAGACACAACTGTAACCGAAATCAAAGTTGTATCAATTTCCAAAGTAAAATATTATTTGCAAAAGGAATAAAACCTATTATTTACAAACCTGAATTGTAAGAGCCGTCTAAAATATGAATAGAGAGTTAAGCATAAAAATAACTTTCAAAAAGACACAATATGTTAAACGCAAAGTCAAATGTACCTTGCCAACACCGCCGTCCCCAAGAACTACCAGCTTATACAACATCATCTTGGCAAATACGTATTATGGGTAATGAGAAAATGGCTTTCGTCTAAGGGAATAGCAGTTGTCAGGAGTTTAATGAGGGAACAGTCCTCGAGTAGGACTTGATAGTTCAGTGTATTCACAAAGAATATAAAAGACTTTGCGAATGAAAAGGTGATTTGCTCAATATTAAACCTCACTCCCCTCAATGTACCCTGGATGACACAGTGCACATACTTAATTGGATTGTACGATTTGAATACCGCAGTAAGAATGGGCCTGTGGGACGGTGAAATACTATTTTAGTATGGCTGAATTCTTGTACACGTGATACACATAGAAGAAATGCATTCACGGAATGTCGTAAATCATCCAGAGCTCAAATGATAATAATAAGGAAAATTTTATATTACTATTTGTGGAAAGTAATATAACCAAATCAGAATATGTAATTTGATCGACTTTATTTTATGTTTCAAATCAAATAATATAGTATTGTATATTAAAGATTGTAAATTATAATTTATACAAAGTACTTTTTAAGTTATATTTAAATCTTATATATCTTTTTTAATCAATAGTACAAATATAATATAATATATGTATAAAAAATTATTTAAATATTAACAAATTATTCTATTTTTAAAAAATTATTAATTATATAATATATAAAATAATATTTGTTTGATTTTATATTTAAATATTAGAATAAAATAAGTTATTTAATAGTATTAGATTGTTTTTGTTATAGAATAATTAAATTTTATAATAATATAATATTTTTATATAATTATTTATATTTTATTATTATTTTTTTTAATATTATTTATAAAAAAAAAACAATATTCTAATCTAAAATAATTATAAAAAAATTTTTGTATTTTTTTAAATACTTAAATATAATTTTTTTATTTTTAAATATTAATTAGATTTTGTTTTATTGAATATTAATACTTTAAAAATATATTATATAAAGTTTATTATATATAAATAAAGCTATATATAAATCTAGTTTATATTATTTAAATATATTAACTTATTGTTAATAATTTATTTAAAATAATTTAAATTAATATATCAATATTTCTATTAATTTTATTAATTTATATGAAACTTAATTAAGCTTTATTTAAAAAAATATATTAAGAAAAAAAAAATAAGTATAAATAATATTTATTTTTAATAAATTAAATAACTATAAAAATTTTTATAATTAATTTATTAAAGATTATTATTTTTATTATTATTTATAACTAAATCCGAATTTTAAATTAATATTAAAATAGTATCAAAATAGTATTGACTTATAATAAATTTAATATATAAATTATAACTTATTATTAAAAATTTTTTTTCTATTTACTACATATTTCTTAAAAATTTTCTTTTTAAAAAGTTTTTTTTCTTTTAAAAAAACTTCTATTAAAGAACTCATAATTATATTAATTAGCAATATTACACTATACTCTTTTTAGAAATATAATTCTTATTAATAAAGAAGTTATAATGCTAAAAACAACTTTCTTTTTTTTTTTTTTTGTAGGTAAACATCATTTCTTTATTTGATTTGTATATAGTATGGTATACATCGTGAAAGAAACAACATCTCTCATATAGTAGGGAACAGTATAACGTAAGTAGGGAACAGTATTTATATACTGTTCCCTACTTACGTTATACTGTTCCCTACTTACGTTAGATTGTTTCCTACTTATGAGTAGATTGTTCCCTACTTATAAGTAGATATTTATTTTGATGTCTATTTAGCTTAGGTTATAATATAGTCTATATTATAATTTTGGCCACATTCGAAAGTGATCGATCTTATAATTCTGGTCACATTCGAAATTCAAAGGTGGTCAATTTCATAATTTTGGCCATATTCGAAAATGATTGATCTCATAATTTTGGCCACATTCGAAAGTGGTCTATATCATAATTTTGGCCACATTGGTGTGTGATTTATATCATAATTTTGGCCACATTGGTGTGTGGCCGATTTCTGTCATCAGATTGTATATGATGCAATGTATATCAATTTGGCAATCGCGATTGATTTTAAAACTAATATGCTCCCCGAGGTAGGTTATAACGTGGTCTATATCATAATTTTGGCCACATTCGAAAGTAGTCAATCTCATAATTTTGGCCACATAATGACAGTGGCTAATTTTTGTCGTCAGGTCACATGCCAACTATTGTATGCTAGTTTGGCAACCATATCTGATTTTTGTCGTTGGCTCACATGAATAAAAAAAATATATCTGACGATGCATCCAATCATATATCGTCATTTGTGGATTGCGAGTTTGACTGGCTGATTGCAATTTGTGCATCATTAGAAGGGACAAAGTTCTTGATCGTGGGTTTAGAAACAAGTATTCTACTCAAATATGTGGCATGATTTATTTTTTTAGCCACATTCGAAGGTGGCGTGATTTATTTTTTTAGCCACATTTGAAGGTGATGTGATTTATTTTTTAAGCCACACTCAAACTCTCGCATATTGAGTTAGTGATTTAATTGATTTTTATAGTTTAGTAGTATGTGGTATGCTGTGTATCAATTTGATGATCATGGTTAATTTTAAAACTAAGGTGTTTACCGATGTAGATTATGACATCTCGGGTGTGCTCCTTCTCTATGATCTTTAGAAACCTAAATTCGATAACATTATTTGTATACTGGCTTGATAACCGTGGCTGATTTCCATCATCAGTGTCATGATGACAGAAATTCGACACCATCGTCATATGTTGTG